TTGAATTCGTCCGGATCCCTGCTATTAATTTTTTGGTTCTGGCAGCTTTGAATACAAATAAAAAATATTATTTGACCAGAGCCCAAAAAATATATTTAATTATCGCATTTTCGAAATCTATTCAGACCGTACGCCTTTGCAACAATGCACATTCAATCAACAACAAATTAAAAGAAAAAGGAGGTGAGATCTGGACTCGAATAGAGCCCAGGAAGAACTAAACTGAATGCCTGAGCACAGCGACTTTTATACAAAAATAAAATGCTGTTTGACAGCAAAGGCAAAACCTACTGCTTTGGCTTGTCGTTTGCACAGCCCATGATTGCGATGTTTGTGACGTCACAACCCGCAGCGGGGAATATACCAGAGTAGGCTTTGGGTTTGCTAACTTTGTCGTCTTTTCGTCGCTTTTTATTCTAAAGCGCATGAAGCGATGGACTGAGAAAAAGAAAGTCTGTAAATCTAGAGCCGTAAGTCTTTTTGTTGTTTATACCAACATTGACCTTGGGCTGGCCGGCTAAAACTTGACTTTGCAACAAAAAGGTCACTAAAACATTTGTCATACATTTGTCTACATTTTGTTTCTTTTCTATTTATATGCTAACCTAGCTGTACAATAAAGCGATTAAATATGTTAACATTAATTATATTTCCTTGTACGTGGCTTTTATTGTTTGTTTTTAACTTATATCTATCTAAGTACCCGGATTGGAAGATTGAAGGGGTCAGCTTCTTCTACAAAGCTTTCTTCTCAGTATAAATGGCTAAACAGTGAAGCAGGCCAATCACTTAAGATCCCTTGCCAGGGCCGGTTGCGGATGTACTAAGGGGTCCCAGTATTTAGGCTGAGAACCTTTGCTTGAATGACACTAATTCTTCCCAAATGCGACTTTGTTGTTGTTACAAACATTTGGCCTGCATAGTGCCAGCTATTTATTTGCATACTTTGACGTTGTCAAGAATTCAAAAGTGTACTGCATACTCTTGTGCGTACTGATTAAAAAATTGTATGTATAAAATTCCAAAAGTAGAGCGAAAGTTAAAAACTTATAACTAGTATGGTGGTTGCATGCAAAGCCACAAGTGTGAAGATCAGTTCAAAATAAAACTCAGCTAATTGACGTTAGCCTGGGGATTTGTTCATGCGAATATGGAAGGCTTGTTTCATTCATATTTAATATAAGTGCAGCCCGTTTTACCCTGGTCACAAGAAAATTGGTCTAACTTCAGAGAAGCTTTAGCCAAGACAGCTTTTCTCCAACAATCCAAGCTTTAACTGGCTGCAACTCTTGAGAGCATGTTCAATGCATACAACCGGAAGAAAGCTTTCGCGAGCCAATTAAAATATACAAATGGTCCAAGAAAACTATCAACGAAAAAACTTATATAAGCCAGCAGTTGCTAATTGGCAGACCGTGAAGAGTTTTTTCTTTGTCGAAATTCAATTGGATATATATTAGTTAAAGAGCGAATATCTGGGACTATTGCCATTTGTTTCAATGTTCAGTCCAAACGTTGCCGCAAATAAAACGAAACGCTCAATTGGCCATGAATTGTTACAGCAATAAAATGCAAAAGTATTATGCATAAAAGTAAATTATAACGCCAACATTAAATGTGAATTTAAAATGTGGCATATACTTAACATTTAATGGATGCAACTGTTGCCATAAGAAGAAAGAACCCACATTGAGATTATTTACTCAAATGGCAACAGATGCGATTTCAAGTGCCTTCGGTAATTATGAATAAATGAATTATTGTTATAGCCTATGAAAATCATTTAGACGACATGTGAGCTGAATTGAAATCAAAGCAGTTACATTTATCTATTTAATGCGACGCCTGTTGGAAAAATAAAAATATAAAATCACTAAATAATATTTTTTATATACACTCAATCAAACTAAAGCAAGAAGGAATGCTGTTTGACTAGAGTTAATCCTGACTCTTTTAAATCCTTACAATTCATTGCGAAAAAAATACACAAATTCTTAAAACCGTTTTTTATAAGTTCACTTAGGTTGTTGAAACTTTATTTTACAGAAAAAATTCACAACTTAAATTAGCATCCATATATCATTATTATCTTACTCAGCTTCAGTGTCAGTGTATGTGTGTGTGTGTGTGTGTGTGTGTAGAGTAGGGTTGAGAGAGTGTGTGTATTTCAAAACGAGAGTTTTGCAAACGCACAACTGTAACCGGGTCGACTTATGCACTCGTATATCCAAACTAAGTAGGTTTCGATTTCCCATGTTTTTCTTTTTTTTTCAAAAATATACAAACTAAATTCGCTTAGAGCACTAAATCGCATATGTTTCTCGTTTCTAGTTAAAGGTACTTAATAGTGTGCCGCATAAGGACTCGAGTAGTGTCCATAGTGTCCAGCATCGTATTGGGGCACGTACTCATATTGTGCCTGGTTGTAGTAGCCATCATCGTAGTCGTAGTGAATTGGCGCGGCAGCGGGCGCATAGTGTTGGGCGACTATAAATAATAACAAAACAATATAATATATAAATATTATTAAACCAAAATTGTGGGGCCCTAAGTTTGTTTGCTTTGAAGTGAGTCAACAGAAAAAAAAGCTAAGTTCAACAGCAGCAGCAGCAGCTGCCTCTAAAACTAGTTCAGTTCAGCGTATTTTAATGCTGACGAAATAATTTTCTTTGCTTGTCACGAATTTGTAAGCACCAAAGTCAATTGGTCACAGGTGTTGTTGTTTTTTTCTCGCTAGTTGTTGTAATTTCCTTTCGGGCATTTTGCATGTAAAACGATGACGAAGTTCGTTGCCTAAGTCTTTTGTTTTGCCAAAGTGTTTGCTGCGTGTATTTGTGCGCGCGCGCTTCTTGCGATTCTTAATTATTAAAACGGCAGCCACAATCAAAATAATTTTCACATGCAGTCATAACAACAACAGCAACAACAACAACAAAGCAACAGCGTTTCCCATGCAAATCCACATTACGACATTGAGAAAAGATGTTGGCTTCGAAATGAAATGGGCAACAAAATTTTCCGCACAGCTTTTCTGCCTGCAGCAAAAGTTGATGCGCTGCTGCTGTTGTTGCTGCTGCTGCACAATATGACATAATTAATGTGGGAAAACTATGGAAAATATGAGAGCGAATGCAAAGTGCAAACAAAACTTGGGCAAAAAACCAAGCTAATCTCTTGATCAATGTTGAGGAAAACTCGAACATCATGACATAATTAACAAACGCGTGGGCGTGCCAACTGCTGCATTAGTCAACACAAATGCCGGCTTATGAAATGTTATACATTTGACGATGCGATGATTCAGTTTACAAGCCCCACTGCACACGCTCTCAATCTAATTGCAATGCAACGCAGCGAACTAAAACGATTATGTACTTATAATAGAAATATGGTTAACTTATATATACACTGAGAACTGATATACGGATATTCAGTAGACTGCATAGTAATCGGCATCTGTTGCAGCCTCCGCCGTCGCTGTCTGTCTGACTACATCAACGATGTCATCATATTCGTCTGGGCGCAATTTGCGATATTGATTGTTAAAATAGTTGGCGTGACGCCTGAACAGCTTGAGCATGCGATACGTGTTCATGCCTAGAAGAGCAAGAGCAGCAAATCAGTGTGTGTGGCAGGCCTGAAGAGTGTGCTACCACAACTACCACAACAACAACAACAACAACTAGCTGGAAGTGCGTCTATATTTGGTGGGGCTGCTAAACCATTTGAGTGCTATTCCATTAACTATTCAACCCGGTACAGCTATCATGATATTAGATTAGATATACTTGTCACTCACCATAGGGCGCTGGCGAGGCAACGACAACAGGCGCGGCCACAGGAGCCACATGTGGCTCATAGTGGGTCAAAATCGGTTTGTGTGCAATGATGGGCTTCGTGACCAGCGACTGGGCGTGCACAGTGGGTCCAGATTTGGTGACAACAGCGTTGAAGCCATGAATGGAATCGGCCGTGTAATCAACAGTGCGAATGGAGCCATCGGGCTCGACCAGAGAGTATTGACCTGAATGGGGGAAAGGTAGAGAGGACATATTTATTAGTTAAGATCATTTTTAAGCCCTGACAATTGATTAATATTAGTAAAATAATGTTCTATATATCCATGTTTATACCCTGAGAATTGAGTAACAATGGGCATATTGTTCTGGTGCATATGTGTGTAAAAGCCAGGCGGAGGTATTTCCACTATAAATTTGATATTATTGATCAGGACGACGAGCTAAGTGTATCTAGCTATGTCTTAGCAACTGCCAAAGCTAGAGTCTTAAAACTGGAAGTATATAATCTCGTAAGCCCTACGCAGAACGAGTTAATCAATTTTTTCTAGGTATATATTCCCGACTTAAACACTCTTAGTTGTTTTTTGTTTTTGCGTATGTGTTATAGTTATATTTACCCTTGACAACATCGCCATCACGAGTTTCATGCTGTGATTTGACATCGCCGGTCGTGTGATCGGCTACGCCATAGTTAAAGGCATATTTGGGATGATCCTGTTGAATAAGATAAAGGGAAATATATAGAACTTTGCTAAATAACAAGAGATCTGTTTTGAATTTCGGAAGAGTATGGCACATCCGAAGGTGCGAAGGAGAGTATGAGCATGTTAGATTTTGAGTTTGTGATGATACGAATTTTGCTTTGCCATAAAAATAAAATAGTTATATATGACATTTATATATCATTTACTGTTAAATAGTTTTTTTTAATTTCAAATGTTCTTGCTTTTATCACAAATTTTATGAGCATCGAACTACTTGTTCTAGGTAGTTCAGCCTGGAATCTCTGGAACTCACATAATAATCCACAGCATATCCTGGACGCGCCACGGCCACACTGGCGAACAAAGCCAACGAGAGGATAACGAAGCACATGAAATTTGCCATTTTCTTGATTATTTTGTATTTTGCGTATTTTCAAATAAATTTGATTTTATAATTTGCTAAAAATAAAACAACAACACAAAATATATATATGAATATCGTAAGCACTTTGCACAGATCCTTGATGGAGTTAACAATTGGATTTACTTTTAGTACTACAACGGCAACAGATACAAACAACGCCAAGTTCACCGGAATACTGTGGCTATTCTAGAGCCGAGTTTCCATTTAAATAAGCGCAAAATGTGCGAAAGCAGCGACGCAGCCGCACAGCCGCGCAGCAGCGACTACAAGACGCTGGGTTTCTCAGTCAGTCAACTGTGGCGGGCGACGCAAACGGAGACGGAGATGGGGACGGAGACGTCGACTGAGACGTCAACATCTCTGGCGTGGTGAGTAGTGGCTGCTGCTGCCGCTGCTGCTTGGTGGGGGCCATGTGAATGAAGTTGCAGCATGAATCGGGATGTTGCTACACTAGCCCGCTGAATGGGGTCGGGGTGGTATGTATGGAAGCAGTGCAAATTGGCGACAGATCCAGTTACGGATTGAGAGCGGCTGCATTGTGTATCTTCTGGCTTTATCCCACACAACATAATGAAGTCATCCGCAGTGGCAGTCACTTTTTGATTGAATCAGAATTATGTTATTAATCATAGCTTAATCATTAATTTCCTCCGGTTCAAACGAAAGACTTAGGCAACGAACTGCAGCACAGTACGCGAATTATGCGCAATAATTATTGCCCTAGACCATAACAAATAGTGGCCAATAAAAAGCAATTTATTTAACAACTTAATTCTAAGAAGAAAAAAAACGCTGACAATAAAATATATCTCGACTATCCTAACCAAAATAAGGTCAAGTTGCAGCTAAAAACGAAAAGCTTGACAAAAACAATTGAAAATTGTCGTTGCATAAACAAAAAGCCCTAGTTATTTGGCACATGCGAAATTCTCAGTGATCTACTTGAATGAAAACAACAAGGCAGCCAAAAGTCCAACCGAAGTACGTACTAGCTACAGCTAGTTCTAGCTGTTTTTGTCTTAGCCATCAATGCTGAAGGTCAAGCGCGGCAGCAAAGTTCAAATCTGAGTTCCATTCTAGGCAGCAAATGAAAGCAAAAATTGCTGGCGGCAGGCAAAAAAAATATGCTATGACACCAGAGCAATTTAAACTAATTTATATCTATAATAATATTGCTGACTTGTTATTGTCCAGTCCTCAGTTGCTCAATTCGCAACAATCAATGATTAATTGAGCGCGCGCCAATTTCCATGCACACTCAGAATAAGACGCAGTTCACGCAGCTTGAAGGCGTAAACATATTAAAGAACCTTTTAGACCACATAAAAAACTTTACCTTTATGATAGACGCCTAAGTGCTTTCCAGGTACAAGCGCAGGATTTTTAATTAAATTTCAAGCGTTTGGCGTTCTTTAAGCTTATGGTTCCCACGGGTACTGTACGTAATAAATTGAACTAATTAAAATGGAAAAGATTGTAAGTGAATATACTGAAGAATAAATACTCTACTCTTATTGCAGTTTGCTTGAGCAGCGTTATTGATAGATATACAGATATTGAAGGATTTTATGTAGGATATAGTGGCCAAACATGTTGTACAGCTTGCAAAGTTATTCTACCAGATGAGAGGAAACTGTGGTAAAAGCTTTTATGAATAACATCAACAGCATCAGCTATGTGACGTCATGAGCCTGCCTGGCCTAGGTGTCGCACTAATAAGCGGTAGCCAGTTCAAATCCAGTTGCAATCCAATATGTATATAGTAGCTTGTTTTTGTTATTATTCAACAAAGAAATGGAAAATATTGGAAGTTTGCTTTTATTTATTAATATTTATAACTGAGTTTCATATTGTAATAAACGTTTGTTTATAGTCTGATTGGGCCAGTTTTATATAAGAACTTATCGTTAAGTATTTAATGTGCATGGCCCGTATTGAGCCAACACATTCCATCACTTAGTTATAGTACCCACTTAAAGGGTATATGTTTCTACCCACTGACTTAGGTACGCAGATGGCTAGTACTTTATATATATTATGTATATTTAGCGCAAATTGTTAATTAAGTAATTTGTCGTTATGGAGTGCATGTGTGAGCTAGAGAGACTTTATATCAAAGAAACCGATCAGGCATACATATGCTTTTAAAGTAAGTGATTTATCTGTTTGCGGAGCGCGACAAAGCAGCCAAAGAGCTTTAAGATAGCTGAGACAGTTTCAAGTTGTAGTCTAAAGCTGTGCTCATCCTTGAACCACGTCGAGAACGTGCCAATTGAGGTTGGCAGCTAACAAAATTATTAGAAATATTGACAAACCGCAAGAGTCGAAAAAACAGAGTCAAAACAATTTGTGCGGGCCTTTACACAAGTTAATAATATGCGCTAGTTTATGCCCGGGTCAGCATTTGTAAGGCTGCGCATTTTCACATAATTAAAAACGAGGGGCGTACTAAAGACTCTAATTAGAGCGAGCTCCATATGCCGAGAAGTGCGCCAAAAGCAGCCGAAGTCATTTTTCGTTGCTTGCCCAAAAATACCCCCAAACGAAAAAAAAAGAAGTAAAAACTAAAAGAAGGCAGGCGAACAACCTTCAGCACTTGCATACAATTGTCTACATCTCCGCCTCCGTCTTTGGTTTTTTTATGTTTGTTTTCCCCCTCCCTAGCCGAGGTTTTGAATTTCCAATGCGACTTCGGACTGCGGTTTGTCGGCAGAAAGAGAAAAAAATAAAACTAAATACTAGATTAAGTCAATTTGCATGTTTGCGAGCGCCGCCAAAGCATTTGCTACGCAGACATGATAACTCGATGCCCAAGACACAAGTCTGAAGTCTCACAAGACTCGGCGTAAGCGGCTGGGAAAATCAGCAAGCGATTGTCGGCATTTTCCGAAGGTTTTCCATATGCAGCTTGACAGATTTTTAGCCAAGCGGCAGCACATGTGCGTGGCTTCAGCTTGCATTGTGTTCCCCCTAACAAATGCTGGCAATTAAACAACAATAAATATAACTAACTACCAGAATAGAAAAACTAACGTGCACGCTAAACTATCAGAATAAATACAAATGTGTTGCTGTTAAATGTAGCGTGCAGTTTGCCATCATGTTAACGACAAAGCGTGGCATCTGGGAGTGGAATTTTATATTATGTTTGCCAAAAATAAAAGCAAAACATAAATTTTACTGAGCTTTAAGTAACAAAATTAAGTGGATCGTAAAAATATGATATATTACACATGTTATTCTATGGGCTCGGTAAGAGTAAGAATAGAACAAAACAGACATAATAAAAAAAGTTATTACTAGTTATACAAATCTGAAAGGAATCTGAAAGGTATCTGAAAAGAATAGTTTGGTAAAAATTAACTGAAAATTATTTAATTAAATTAAACTAGTTAAAAAAGCATGCAATGGAATATAATCAAATAAAAGGATACATGAATAATATGAATATTATGTTTATTGGATTAGATTAAATAGTATAATAGATTAAATAGTATATAATAATATAATAATTAAATAGTATAATAATTCAAAAATAATGTATATATAAATATAAGAAACACAAAATTAAATAAGCTACGGAAAAGGAAAGGAAATATATGTGAAGCAAATTTAAGGAAGAATTTAAATGCAATACCATAAACAGAAATTTAGAAAAAGAGTTGTTTTATAAATTCCGTAACTTGTAAAAGTTGAATATTAAAATCTGTAATGAGTTTATTTTAATAATAATACAATAAGTCTATTTCAAGATTCTTATGTAAACAATTCCAAAAAAATAATAAGGTGTATCTTATTTATTTTAAGTATGCTTAGAGTACACGATTATCTGAATATTTAAACCTTCAATAAATATATTTTTTGATATTATAAAAAAATTTAGTTTGTTTTTCTTTTATAAATAACTGTATATATGTTTTTATTTTATTCAAAACTATAAAGACATTTTATTCACATGGTTAGGTTTCTTTTATAGTTTCTTTCATAAATATTTATACATCCAATTGACCCCAAACTAAGCCCTGAAAGGCGTTCATTTGCAAGCCCATTTGGCGCAAATGGACTCAAATGCAATTCAAGATGTGCCAACGCCCCTGAAGTCGTACATTCAAGTCCACAGCGAACTGTCGTAGGCAGAGGGGGGTATTGTGGCTGGGATGTGGCCAAGGCAGCTTGAATTGAAGCTTGGCTATTTTTAGTGACGATGACTATGATGGCGACTTTGACTTGGTTTACTTTTGGCACTCTTGGCGTCTGCTGGTCACCTAATTTCAGCTTGTTTACACAGACTAATTTGACAATGGGCAATGAGCATTGCTGGGGCACTGGGCAATGTACCCCATTGTCGCTTGCAACACGAGACGGCTTCAAGGTGCGAATGTTGCAAGCCAGACCAGAAAGAGTGACAGAGAGAGAGGGGGAGAGAGAGAGAGAGGCAGGGAGACTTGGTCTGTTTGGGTGTGGGTGGGTGGGCATCATTGTTGTCGCTTAGTTGGGCATGCTTCAGTGCGTCCGGCACTGCCGCATCTGTGTCCGGGCCAATTGACTGACCATTGTTAACAAGAGCTTTGTAACGCGCCATGAAAATGACCCGTGGCAAATGCGGTCGCTGTAATAAAATGCAAATTAATGGCTTCCAAGCCCGAGGAGCTGCTATAAATTTTCAGTTGTTAGCGTGTGCTCCAGAGAGAGATGGAAATGAATTCTCGCACCTTTTTGGCCAATTTGTTGCAGGCTGCTGCTGAACTGTTGCTGCTGCTGCTGCTGCTACCTGCCATGCATCAAATTAACCCTCAAATAATCCAGTTAGCTTTGTTATATAATTGACGCTGACAGGCGGCATGCATAACTACTGGGATGATTATGCCGAAGCCATGATACACATCTCTGCCAGCCTCCAGTGAATCCACACTACATGCTGTTGAAATGTTTATTTATGCGCGGCAAGTCTGAAATCGCTTATACCTCTAATTATGTCTGCCCAGTTGCTCAGTTGTTCAGCTGTTGCTGGGCATTTGTTAATTATTAATGGCGCTTTTCAATTACGCAGACAGGCGGCGACATTTACATGCTACAGTGGATCGAACTGGACTGGTGAGGATATATGAGACACATTGCAAATGCAACATATGGCATCAATTGGGCTAGATATGAATAGTTAAAAGTAATTATTGTGGTTGACAACACTTATAAACTGTAATAATTACATTTTTAATAGCTGC